GTTTTCTCCTCCAGATTGTTCATCCAGCCTATCTTATTTAGATAGACCTGCGGAGATAATAACATGCACAAAAACAAGACAGAGCAAAACCAAGCAACGAAAGAAAACAAAACAACAATAACAACAACAAAAAGCCAATGACAAAACATCCCCCCCCAAAACAACAAAAAAACCCACAACACATCAACAGCCAAAAAAAAAAAAGTTTGTAGTTAGTTCAAGGACTGTTTGTTGGCCTTGATGAGTGTTTTCTGGTCGAGTCTGATGGGGTGCCAAGTCCTGCCCCCAAAGTCTATTTTTGGTATTCCTTGGGTACTTCGTTGCTCTGTTCCCCTTGCTGTTCTGTTCCACGCCCTTAGTGTTTTGCCTCGGTGTGGTGGGATCAGATCGGGCGGAATTCCCACACTGTGTCTCCAGTGTTGTCCCCTGTAGGGCTATGGGTCAGTGAGGGATGTTGTGTCTCATAGTGGTGCCAGCCATGTGGTCTTCTCTATGGATTGGCTGCTCTGAGCGTGCATATTGTCCTCAAGGCTTGGTGGGCCAGGATGTGCTCCACTCTCTCTTCCTCCCCCTTCATCCGCTCCTGTGTGCTCTGATCAGACATGTCCCTCTCCCGGAGCTGCAGATTCAGTGCCGTCCTCTGAAATAAATTCTTCTGGGGTGAGGGGTAGGTGTCCCCGCAATTGGGATTGGGGCCGGCCCAATGTTGTATTTCTTTTTATGTACTTTGCTAATCTTAAACATAATTGCATATCTTTCCTACAGAAAAAAAACAATGTTTTCTTAACTTTCTGTCTTCAGTTCCGTGTTTTCCAGCACCCAACATAACTTGCAAGGATTCCAGTGGCAATGAAACACATTTTACTGGAAGCGAAGTTGGTTTTCTTAAGCCCATACCCTGCCGCAATGTGTAAGTACATTCCTGCTTTAAGTTGCAACCCTACAGACTCCTTGTCTATGGTTACCTTCATTACATGAGATGAAGACATAAAGGGCTAACTTGTGGGGAACGTCCTGCACTAATGAATAGAGCTGGTGTTTCCCCTTATGTTAGGAAACCTCTACTTTATGTCACATTCTTTTGTTGTTGTTGCTGTTAATAAATGTAATTTTTACCCCAGTAAAAATGAGGTAAATAAAACTATAAAGAGCTGATGTCATGTTAATTCATCTCAGTTTATGTCACCAAATGAATTGTGAAAATAATTTTGTTTTCAGAATTTAGGGGATTTCTAGAGCACAGCTAAGCAATTATCTACTTGTGGGATTAGAGGAACACCAGTTATTGTTAATCATTTGTATATTAAGGGAATTTCAAAAAGTCTACTTCATTTTTTATAATAGATACAGATGGTGAATGATAATGTTAAGCAGAACTCACACGTTATCAGTGTCGCAGATTAGAAAAATGCTAGGAATAGACTGCTTAAAAGGCTTTTAGGTTTGCTCTTTATTTTTTACAGTAAAATTTCTACTTTGGACTAAAAATATGCTTAGTTTTATTCGTATTAATTGTTGCTACTTTATTTTTACTATACATTGTTAGATTTTATTTGATGGTACTTCTTTTAAGCCCTATTGTATTGTACAAAGAAATTCTATTTGTCTGCTTCTACAAGTTCTATTAGAATTATTACAAAGACCTGTTTGAGTCTTTTCTCATGATCTTACTTAATTGAGTTAATGAGGAGTTTTAAATTCTATCTTACTGTGTAATTCTAAACCAATCATTTAAGCTTCTTGGGCCCAGAATTTCTCATCAGTAAAATAAAAATTGTTAAAAGATATTATTGTCAAAGTACTTAGATATGATTTAGCCCATTTTAAAATGTGTGGTAGAAATGCTATTTCTACTTTTAGCATTTCAAATACAAATAATATATTAAATGCTGGTCCAAGATACCATAGTTCATAATGCGACATTTTAAGAACATCATCTGTTAAGGGTCGCTAGCCATTCAGATTGGATCTTCACAAGTCACGTTGCCTTTGCTGGGACACCACAATGGTCTTTAACTCTGCTTTTCTTTCAGTGTCTCAGGGTAGATTAGGCTCAGTGTGACTGAGCTGCACTAATCATACTCATGCTTATAAGACATTGATGCCAATTATGATAAGTCACATAACCATCAAGGAAACCAGATACTCCAAGTCTTCTGGCCAACTTGTGCCTTTCATTATAGTAAAATCTACAATTCCAGAATCAAATTTGCTTGCTCTGCATTGAATCTGAACAAGGGGAATTAAACTGTTGGATAACTATAATGGTAAGAGTCACAAAACCAGGATATTCAGTACATGCCAGTCAGTGATCTGGTCTCCTATAGGCACTACTGAATATTCACCCACTGACAAATTCTCATAGGTGTCCCCATCCCAGTTTAAACATTTTCCTCTTATCCCTGCTAGCATATTCTTTTTTCAAATTGTTTGTGTTAATACTTAGTTAAAACTCCATAGCAAATAGGGACATAGTTTATTCTCCAGAAACTGAAGCCTGGTAACCATATCTGACTACCAAGGCATCCACCTATTTATTAGTGCATGCAACTGCAATAAAGGAGCCAAGTGGTATAGTGGTTACGAGTTTAAACTGCAATCCTTACGTCATCAGTTGGAAATCACTCGTGGCTCCCTGGGAGAAAGAGGATGCTTTCTGCCCATGTAAAGAGTTACCATCTCAGAAAACCACAGGGTAGTGAGTATTTAAGTATAACTGCAATAACCGCCACTGTCAGTTTGTCATGCTCTGGTGGCTTGCATGATGCTGTGATACAGGAAGCTATGCCATTGGCATTTTAAATACCATTAGGAGCATCCAAAGTGAACAGGTTTCAGTGGAGACTAAACAGACTAAACATAGCAGACTATGACGAAGGAGTAGGTTGTGCATTTCTGAGGGATTTGTCACATGAGCCATATAAGTAGCATACTATTGTCAGATACAGTACAGGAAGATGAGCCCCTCAGGTTGCAGGTCATTCAAAATGCAACTGGGGAAGAGCTGCTTGCTCAAAGTACACTCAAATAATGATTTGGATCGAAGAAAGAGAGTTTTGGGTAATTTTAGTGGCTTATCATGAACGACTCAGACTAAGGAGAAAATGCTGCAAATATCTGTTAATGAATGGAACATGGAATGTATGAAGTATGAATCTCAGTAAATGGGAAATTGTCAAAATTAAATTATATGCATAAAGACTAATATCCTAGGCATTAATGAGCAGAAATTGACTGATATTAGCCATTTTGAATCAGATAATCATATGGTTTACTATGTTGGGAGTGCCACATTGAAGAAGAATCTGTTACATTCATCATCAGAAAGAATATTTCAAGCTCTTTGTTGAAGTATAATGCTGTCTATGGTAGGCTGATAGCTATAGTCCTATAAGGCAGTCCAGTTAATACACTTATCATTCAGATTTACACACCAACCACTAAAGCTAATAATCAAGAAACCAAAGAATTCTACCAGCTCCCTCAGTCTGAAATTGGTGAAATATGCATTCATGTTACATTGCTAATTATTGGGGATCGGAATGCAAAGGTTGGAAACTAAAGAAATGGTAGTTGGAGAATAGGCTTTGGTGATAGAAGTAAAACTGGAGATTGAATGATAGAATGACTTCATAGAAAATACTTTTTAAAAACAACATACACTGCCACTGTACATGCGGACCTCCCCTGATGGAGTACACAGCAATCAAGTTGGTTACATCTATGGGAAGAGATCACGAGGAAACTCAATATTGGCAGCCAAAACAAGGCCATGGGGCAACTGTGGAACAGGTCATCAATTCTTCATATGTAGGTTCAAGGTGAAATTAAATAAAATTAACACAATTCCATGAGCACCAAAATATGGCCTTGAGTATATCCCACTTGAATTTAGAGAACATGCCAAGAAAAGATTCAACACGTTGAACACTAATTACAGGAGACACGAAGAAAGCAAAGGTCACTAAAATAATAGGTAAAAAAGACAAGATCAAAGTAGATGTTAGAAGAGACTCTTGAAACTTGCTGTTGAATTAAAAGTAGCTAAAGAAAACGGAAGAAACAAGTCAAAGAACTGAACAACAAATTTCAAAAGGCAGCTTTTAAGAAGACAAAGTATTACAGTGAAATGTGTGAATACCTAGGGATAGAAAGCCAAAGAAGAACACGCTCTGCAGATCTCAAGTTGAAAGAACCAAAGAACATTGGGTTGGCTGCCCGTTCCCACTGCTGCTGTCCATTAGACCACAGCCGAGGGGGGGCGAGGGGCAAAGAGCCTTCGAAGTTACTGCTCTAATTCCAGTGGGGTACACTGAACATGACGCAGTTGTGCAAGCAGAACAAGGAAATACTGCATGGCTTAAAAATCAAGAAAGGTATGTGTCAGGGTTGTATCCTCTCACCTTACTTATCCAATCTGTATCCTGAGCAAAGAATCAGAGAAGTTGGGTTATATGAAGAAGAATGCAGCATCAGGATTGAAGGAGGGCTTTTAAACCACCTGCAATATGCAGATGACAACCTTGATTACTGAAAGTGAGGAGAACTTGAAGCACTAACTGATGAAGACCTAAGGTTGCTGCCTTCAGCGTGAATTACAACTCAATGTAAAGAAGACCAAAATCCTTACAAATGGGCCAATAGGTAACATCATGATAAATGGAGAAAAGGTTGAAGTTGTCAACGATTTTGTCTTGCTTGGATTCACAATCAATGTTCATGGAAGCAGCAGTCAAGAGATCAAAAGGTTGCAGTAGGTAAATCTACTGCACAAGACTTCTTTAGAGTGTTGAAAAGCAAGGATGTTACTTTGAGGACTAAGTTCTGCCTGACTCAAGTCATGGTATTTTCCATTGCCTCATGTGCATGTGAAAGATGGACATTCAGTGAGGAAGACTGGAGAAGATGCATTTGAATAGTGGCGCTGGAGAAGAATATTGAAAGTGCCATAGACAAACAAATCTGTCCTGGAAGAATGACGGCCAGAGTGCTCATTAGAGCCAGGGATGCCGAGTGTCTTGTTCTGTTGTGCACAGGGTCCCTACGGGTTAGAACCGACTCGATGGCACCTGACAACAACAACAACAGCAACAACATGTCTCAGTAAATCCAGCTGGTTGTATTTCAGATATATCCAGAATCTGATCTCTCTTCTCACTATCCTTCTGACCAAGCCACTATTATTTATTACCAGAATTATTATAATAGCCTTAAAACTCTCTTGCTCCCTGTGATAGTTTGAATTTGTTTATTAAATACTTATTTTTCCTGTCCCTCCCTGCCCCCCACGTACACACACACATGGCAGTCCATAGCTCCCTCCATCCCCCATTGATTTTGGACTAGATCACATTACATTGGTGGGTATCACAGAAAGCACAAGCAAAGACTTAAATGTTTTATGGGCTTTAGCATTCCTTTTTAAAAATTTTTCATTTTTTACGCTTTCTATTGTGAATTGGTTGAAGATTTAGAGAGCAGATCATCGGTTTCACATTCAACAATTCATATTTTGTTTCAACTTATCACTTTGATGCCCTCAATGTCCTTATCTCACTTCCTATCTGTATTTTCTGTTTCTATACTTCCTGCCTTATTAACCCTTTGAAAGTTTTCCTTTCCTAAATGCTGCCCTTTTGCTCTTAATTTGTAGATTATTCAAACATGAGGGTGAGGTCAACTGCAGACCTGAAGGGTGGCTAAGGAACATACACTTTCTTGGGGGGCTCTACCAGTAGATGACCAGTATGCCTGTTCCTTTTTTAAAATTTCAAGTTTTATTACGTATTTCACTCTCTTCAGGACTTTCTAGTGTGATCCTTTTCAGAGTAATTAATAGTGGTTGCTAGGCACCAGCTAATTCTGCTTTCAAAGTTCCGGAAAATATTGTTCACATTGTCCATTATTCCATTGAACTGTTTCCATGGGGCTTTCCATTTTAAACCTTCTCCTTTCCTCCAGATGGAGAGAGACCAGTAGTTGCCCCTTAGATGACTGTGCACGAGCTTTTAAGCCCGTTATTACTCACCAAACTAGGATGCAGAATATTGCCTTTGTGAATTTATACCAATTGACCTTGGTGTCTTCTGAGACTATTACTGGGCATCCAGGGCCAACAGCTCTTTTCCGCAAGATGGTTGATTAAGCCTAAGAAGTTTTCATAACTCTGCCCCTTGCATGCTTCACCACATTCATAAGTATAGTTTCAACAAAAGTAAATAAGTATGTACAGATATCCTCTATCAAACCTATATATACCTGTAGGTATCCAGCCACTCTCCCTCTTCTACCTGTTTAGTCTGCATGTCTACCCAAGCATCGACTTGTAGATCAGCACAATTGTAGGATTGTGCATATGACAATATTTGTCTGTTTCCTTTAGCTCTTTTAAATGATCCAGTATTTTCCTGTGCCTCCATCATTTATTTTTTATTATTTAAAAAAAATCACTTCACTGGGGACTCCAACTGTTCTTATCACATCCATCCATGTGTCAAGCACATTTGTACATTTGTTGCCATCATCATTCTCAAAATATTTTCTTTCTACTTGAGCCCTTGGTATTGGATCCTCATTCTCCCCCCCCCCTTTCCTCCCTCTCCCTCTCTCCCTCATGAGCGCTTGATAATTTATAAATTATTATTATTTTTCACCTCCATCGTTTCGTCTGACTTCCCTCTTACTGTATATTGCCTTCCCTTTCACCCAAGTTAACACTTGTTTCACTCTAGTCTGTTACTATCCCTTTCCCCACCTCTGCTAAGCATCCAAGAATTTCCTTTTCATGTGAAAATCTTTTCTTGGCTTTTTATAATAGTGGTCTTGTGCAGTATTTGCTTGTTCTCTTCATTATCTCTCCAGCTTCCTTTGCTAATATTCTTCCCTTGTCTCATTACTGACCTCCTGAATAGCCCCCATATACACCGCTTAAGCTTTCTGCACTACCTGTTTCTTTTGATTGGAACACACTTCTCTTAGTGGCCAGGGTTGCTAATTCACCGTCTCTGTACTTGGCTCAAATAGCACCTTCTCATTGAGGTTTACCCTTGTTACTCCATTTTAAAGTACAGCCTGTTCCTTACCTCTGCCCCTGACACTGAGTCACCTAGATACTGTGCTCCACTGTCTCTTTTTCCCTTAACATATAACTGTCTAACATAGAATAGGCGTCCTCTTTAAATATGTTTGTGTTGTACTGCTTGTCACATCTAGATAGTAAGCTCCACCCGGGCAAGAATGTCCAAAACACAGTGAAAGAATGAATGTGTCAACAAAAGAATAACAGTTTTGTTTTCTTAAGTGTTCATATGTTAGAAATACATGACTTTGACCCGTGGGTTTTAATTTTGTGCAGAAATGGCTATTCATATAAAGTGGCAGTTGCTCTGTCTCTCTTTCTTGGATGGCTGGGAGCAGATCGATTTTACCTTGGGTACCCAGCCTTAGGTAAGTATTTTTTATTTAAAAAAAAAAAAGTCTTGTGGTACATATGCCCTAGTTAAATTCTTACATTTAATATGACATTTAAAGTCATATTCTTACAGATTAAATCTGAGCATATTGCTAACGTTTAGAAATTCTCTGTAACTAGCTAGCAGTTAGCTCTATTAATATGCTTTGGTAAGAAATACTGACTATGGATTGTTATAAAAAGTGTAAGAGCCCACAGTAAAATGATTTATAAAGAAAAAGAGATACTGACCTGGATCTTCACGTTGATGAAAACATGCTGCACGCCGGGTAGGTGTTTTCTGAAGGTGATAGACTTACAGTGTCACTGCTAGTGCTAGACCCGCCATGGCCTCTCAGTGTGTGTTCTGTGAGTAAACATACATCTTTCCTCGCCATTCCCAAATCAAGATTTTTCTTCTACCCGGACACCTTTGTCTCTGTAACCGGCAGGGCCACGTGGGTCAGCATGAGCCGAGGGTTTACTCCATCGAGCCACTCTCCCCGATCTGCCTCCTAGCATAGTCCTCTTGTTTATGGCAATTTCCAGTGGTTATAAATGTATTTACTTCTAGCGAGAGCATTTGTTTAGTAATATTTTCTTGTGCCCAGCCTGATTTAAACCCCGCAGCTCTCTGATTTTATCATCCTCTGTAACGAGTAGGGAAATTGTCCGCAAAGAGGTTAAAGATTTTACTCACCCTAGTGTCCTGGCTTTATTCTGTGACATAGTTCTTGTTAGATTTGCTTTTTGGATAGGGAAATTGTCATGAGATTAGAAGATTTACCCAAGGACACTCAGCTAGTACCTGAACATGAACCCACACTAACTGGCTCCAGAAATCACACTGTATTTTCTGTGGCGCTTGCCTCTGTATTAGCCCTCGCCGAACAGATTTCACATTCATAGATCTCCGCTTGATAGCTAAGGAACGGCTACCTGTATTCTTTCCATGTTGCTACCCACCAGAAATCAAAAAGGATTCTTCACTTGGGGTTGGTGGGAGGGGGAGGTGTGTTTCTGACAGCCTTACCTGGAGTTCTGGGTTATAACATCAAATATCTATACTCATGTATGCAATCAACAAACATTTATTCAATGTTTTCTAAATGCCAAGTGAGTAACTAAATTGCTTACTAATGACTTATGTGGGAATGAAGATGAAGATCGCCTTGCACATTGGCTTAGGAAGAGAATAAATGTGAAATAAAACATTTTAAAAAGATGTTTCTAGGCTGGTTTAAAATACAGCACTAGGACAAAACCATAGCGAAGGGATGTGAGAACACAGAGAGGGGACTGATTCAGTCTCTGTGGGGGTGTGAGGGCCGACTGCTCCGATAAGATGATATTTGAACTAGATGTTGAAGGATGAATGTGTTGTTACAGGGATCAGTATGTATAAGGCACAGGAGTATGAAGAAAGAATGTGTGTGTTGGGAGAATAGTTTATAATTCAGTCCATGCTGTAGGAAGTACAAGGCCCCCCATGAAAAACACTCCAAATTCAGTGCAATTGAGTTGATATCAATTCATAGCGACCCTATAGGACAGGGTAGAACTGCCCCTCTGAGTTTCTGAGGTGATAACTTTTTACAGGAGTGGAAAGCCTCATCTTTCTCCTGTTAAACAGCTGGTGGTTGGTGGTCAGCAGCCTAACACATAATCACTACATTTTTAGGGTCCCTATACCACCCCTAGATGGTGCAAATGGCATGTGCTTAAATGCCTGCTTAACGGTTGGCAATTTAAACCTGCCCAGCAGCACTGTAAAAGAAAGGGCTGGTGATCCACGTCTGTAAAAATTACAGCCAAGAAAACCTTATGGATCATAACACACGGGGTTATGGTGATTCGGACTCAACCCGACAGCAAAGGGTTTATATCCTTATTTTCTTTGTAGGCGGGATGCTCTCAGGAGGAGCTGAAATTGTCTGGACAGCTGTGGTCTTAATGCCTACGACTATGGAATTTGGACATAACTGTGTCCGCATGAATTGTTAAGCAGAGAAATGTGAAGGTCAGATTTATATTTCAAGAAGATAGCATTGAGGATTTGTGGAAACTGACTTAGAATGGAGAGAGGCTGATGTCAGAGGAAGCTGAAAGGAGATTGGTGCAGTATCCCTGGCCTGAAAGATAGAATAACTACACTTCCATAGGACTCATTATAGCAACCATCATAGTTTCCATAACACAGCTGAACCCATATGTAGTGTAACCCAAAGACCTCTGAGCTGCCAAATTGAAAAGCCGAGCACACTCCCCCCACTCCAATTCCTAGGGGCAATGGGGAAGCCATCCAAAGCAGGTCTCTCAGTTTCTTTATCCACTCCAATTTGGGCCTTTGGGTGATTGGGCACCAATATAACACTTCCTTAAGAAGGTGAAAATAGAAGTACTGTGTGATCCAATAATCCCTGTACTTGGTATACAAATTAGAGAAATCAGAGCTGCAATACAAGTTGACATCTGTACACACATGTTCATCACAGCACTGTTTAGAATAGTAAAATGTGGGAGCAACCTAAATGCTCATCAGTGGAAGACAGGATAAACTGGTACATACACACAATGGAATATAACAGTGTTAAAGAATGATACCACTGCAAAACACCTCATCACATAGGTAAGCTTGAATGCTCTTATGTTGAGTGAAATTAGTCATGAAAGGACAAATATTGTATGAAACCAGTATTATAAAAAGTCAAAAGGTTTTCATGCTAAAAGAAACATGTGATGGTTACTAGGGGTAGGAGAGGAACCTTGTTGGCTATGAGTTTATCTCCTAACCACAAGGCCAGCAGTTTGAAACCACCAGGCTACTCTGATGGAGAAAGATGAGGCTTCCTAAGAGTTACAGTTTGAGAAATTCAAGGGGAAGTTCTAAGTTCTACCCTGGCCTGTAGGGTCACTGTTGGAACTGACTCAGCGGCAAAGAGGAATGGGAAAGGAAATTACTACCCAGAGGGTAGACACACTTGATTTAGGGGAAAGGAATAAGAAAGAGGTCAGTGAAAAATTATGGAGGAAGAGGAAAAAAACTTTATGTTTATAAAAGTTAATATTAGCAATTGAAAATATCTAAACTGGATAATACAATGTGTAAGTAGCTACAGATAAAATAAGCATTTTTATTTTTCCTATTAAGAATTTTTTTCCACATTCTTAAAAGCAGTACTATTTATGTGCAGATTTTTAATGCACTTCCTTAATATGGCATATAGTCACTGGATCTTAGAGGAACAGCATAAATAATGTAAATCATGCAGGTGTGCAACTAACTGTGTTTATGGAGTTTAGTGCTGCACGTAATGCTTCATTATATCAATTTTCCCTGAGATTAAACAAGAGAATGTGAAGGTAGGAGGGAGGAGTCGAATAAAATCTGGTAAGATCTAAAAATAGCTTCTAGAAAAATTCCTCTTTCTAAGAATTTCAAATTTCTTTTTGCCATACATCCACTCCTAGTTTATATGTGTGTATATATAGTTATACAAAGGAGCTTCAAAGAGTTTGTGGAAAAATGGAATTAAAAGATAATGGATTTTTTTACATACTTGTTGAAGCTCCCTTGCATGTATATAATATCTTTATTACCTTGATTGAGTTATTGTTCAGTATACTACTGCTGCTTTAGGTGAGAGCCGATTTCACTAAAGTCTTAGTAGAACAGCAATCTGTTTTTATATTTTTAACTTTGTTAACATCTGTTTTTTTAATAAGCAATAACTAACATTTTATTTGCCCATTTGTAGCATTAAAAGATTATGGATTCTCAGAGATAATAGCTCTTTTGGAGGCAGTTAACAGGAAAGATAATCTCTTTTCCTAGTGGTCTTCATTTCAATTTTTTAAATTATTATTATTGAGAATAACAGTTTTGTGTGTTTTAAGCCCAGATCTTAAACTTTGGTTATTTTAGCCCTTGTAGGTTTGAAGGTGCCAGTTTGAACTGGTCTGCAGTATCAACATATTATAGGACAAATTGAGGGATTTGCAAAGTTAAACTTTCCTAAGATAAGGTGCAGACACAATAGGAAAAGAAGAACACTATTACCAAACCATTGTAGAACACTGGTTTGGTAAACAACAGCCTCAGTGTCAAATAATCCTCATTCTTTAAAGCGGTTAGGCAGGGAGAAAAATGTTTGCAAGATCCAACCTGTAAAGAAGCAAAAAATATCAAAAATTAATCTCTGTTCTTTTTATTTCATAGCTACATAAATCCTGTTACTAATGTGTGTTTTTAAACTGTAAAGTTTAAGTTACTAAGACCCAAAATAAAGTACACTTTAAACATGAGATGTATTAATGTAGCCATATGGCGGTGTAGTTTTTTGAGAGAATGTATCTATAAGAATAATGATTCAGAATAAATATGGCTCTTTCCTGATTTTTTAAATCAGAACTTTAAAAAAAAGAAGCAAAAACAAACCTGTAGCTGATATTCTTTTGTACAGTAAATGGGATCTGTTTTATAAAAAACTGGAAACCGCACTCATTGCCATTGAGTTGATTTTGACTTATAGCAGCCCTGTTGCACAGGGTAGAACTACACCTGTGGGTTTCCAAGACTGTACCTACCTCTTTATAGGAGTAGAAAGCCTTGTCTTTCTCCTGGGGAGTGACTGGTTGTTTTGAACTGCTGACCTTGTGGTTAGCAGCCAATGTGTTAACCCACTAGGTATATAAAAGTCTACTTTTGGTGGTTTAAAAATGCCTGTCTTTTCAAGAAAACTGGTGTGCTGTTGAAAAGCCAGAAGAGTAATGATCAGTTTTGGCTTAATAAAGGCTGCGTGGAATGTGGGCTGCTTTGTGGCATTCAAGTTGATCAGAGTTTGTTTGCAAATAAGGTTGATGTGATGTTTCTCATCAGTAATCAAATTGAATGACTTTTATTTATTTTAAACAGTTTTAGTGGCATATAATTCACAAATCATACAACCCAATGGTTCAATCATATTAAAAATAGTTGTACATGAATGCCTGCCTATTTTATATGAGGTATTCCATTACGTACAATGCTAGAGGTAAGGCTTGTGAGATTTCATCTCACATACTTTGGACATGTCAGAGAAGACATCATGCTGGGAAAAGTAGAGGGACCGTGAAAAAGAGTAAGACCCTAGGTAAGGTGGATTGACAGAGTGACTGCAACAGTGGGCTCAAACATAAGAACAGTGTCAGGCAGTGTTTCGTTCTGTTGTGCCCAGGTCACTGCATTAGAACACACTCAGCGCCACCTAAGAACAGCATCACACCAGCCGTGAAAAGGACACAGCCCTAACGTGTGGTTGCTCACAGAAGGATACGGAAAACAGACAAGTAAATATATGATCAATTGTACCATGTGATAGGGCCCCTGGAATGGCAGTGAATTCTTCTTGGGAGTTTTAAAGGAAATTTTCCAGACGTGGGAACATCTGATCTAAGCTTTAAAAGATGATTGGGAGTTAGCTAGAGGATAGGAAGGCATGGAGTGGAGTCCAGACGAGCATTTAAAGAAGAGCATAAACCAAAACCCCCGCCCCAAAAACCAAACAAGTTCAGTGCCATCAAGTTGATTCCAACTCAGAGCATCCCTATATAGGGTTCCCAAGACACTACATCTTTATGGGAGCACAAAGTCTCATCTTTCTCATGTGGAGCAGCTGGTAGGTTTGAACCACCCATCTTGCTATTATTAATAGCCCAAATCCTGACCCAAAGCATCACCACTGTGCTTAAGACAGAATAAAACCCATTCACTCTCACTGCCATTGAATCAATTGTGAATCAGAGTGACCCTGTAGGACAGGGTAGAACTGCCCCAGTTTCTGAGACTGTAACTTTTTTTTCCCAACAGCTTTATTGGCACCTACTTTACATATCATACAGTTGAACAGTTCAATCACTCAATCACATCAAGCAGAGTTTTACAGTCATCACATCTGTCTTAGAGCCTCCTCTCCATGGTCATACTACCTTAAAAATGAGCTGTGCAATCACTATCAGTTCTAGTGCTCCCCCTCTCCACCCACCCTCAGAGTTCACTCCGGAATCCCCCTTCGTCCCCATCGCTCATCCCCATAGAAAGCCTCATCTTTATCCTAAGGAGGCACTGGTGGTTTGGGACTGTTAGCCTAGTGGTTCAAAGTGTAACCACTATGCCCCCAGGGCTCTAAGAATCTAGTAAAAATACAGCCTTGGCTGAAGGAAACAGAAGAGAATGGCTCATTGGAAAATAGCATTGAATAGTTTGTTTGATTATAATCTATGAAAGAGGAAGTAGCAAGAGATGAGGCTAAGATAGATGATGCTACATTGAGGACTTTGAATTTATAGTCTGACTTTCTCAATGATCATAATGAGTTAGAGTACCCAGTGTAGCAGCAGGGCTGTTTATCAAATCATCACCAGACCTTGTGCACGGCTCTAAATTCTTCATCTGTATCTCTACTGGCAATGAAAAAACAGAACTCTCTATCATAGCTATTGTTTAATAATTATTCCCAAAATGTGCTGTCCTAATACTTATTCTTCTGCTTTATGACTAATTCTAAGAGAAAAATAATGCGGTACACTCATGTTTCAATAGGATTTATGTATGTCCAAGGTGTTCTCATCCACTCTCAAGATTTCAGCTGACATCTATTTGTAGTTGATGTTCAGAGCTACCTTCCATGAAAGGTCTTGTTTCCTACTCGTTATCTTGATTCTTAAAAGCATCTCAGGTCTAAATATAGAAGAGAGATTATTCACTCTTCTCCCCCATCATGTCTGACTCTTCAAACTCCATCATCATATTTTTGAGTATTATCTTTGTAGAAACCCTGGATTATGTGCTCAGTTAGCCATTTTAGTATCTTAATTCTTGGGTTGGTAACAAAGCCAATATAACATATATAGGACCCAGCACAGAATTGGTGATTTTGATTAAAGAGATGAAAAGAACTGAGCTGCTATGGAGAGAAAAAAAATTCAAACTAATTGGTTTACTAATAAGTTTTGCATTCTACTTGAAGATAAGTGTTTTATTCTGATTTATTTTCTGTGGGCATGGTAATCTTTCTGTATTTAAACTTTGGACTGAAAATGTATATGGAAATCTAAATAGGATACTATGGTTAAAAGATGTTCTGAAAGCATAGCTTACCGAGATTTAAAGGTGTGTTTAAGCCTTTTTAGAAGTTTTATAGGATTACATTACATTTTTCTTTCACTTTCTAATACTTATTTGTGAAGTAAATTAGAAATTATTTTGTGACTTTTCTATATAGATGTTTCTTAACATTTTTGTCATATCTTCAAATTAATATTTGATTTCAAAGTGTTGGTTTTATATTCTTTATATTAAAATAGTATGGTAGATATAATGATTTACTGGAAAAGTGACCTCCCCCCTTTTTTTTTTACTATTTATAAGACTGCAAATTGTAAATAATGTTATTTCTTTTGTAGGTTTGTTAAAGTTTTGTACTGTAGGGTTTTGTGGAATTGGAAGCCTAATTGATTTCATTCTTATTTCAATGCAGGTAAGTTAGTTTCATTGAACAAGATGAACTAATTGTACATTCAAATTTGAGCCTGTGATCTCCTAGTAAATTTTGAATTTGTTTATTTTGGAAAGCAGATAGGAATGTGTTTCACGTTTTTATTTAGATGTTGGATCTACCTAGTTATTGCCATGTTTTCAAGAAGCTTTCCTAAACGATGTTCTATCAATGAGTAGTCCCTAAGAAAAAAATGGAAAAGAAAATCAAGGCTGCACGTAAACAATTAGTCCATAGGATGAATGAAGCACTACTACCTTGAGACCAGAAGAACTAGATGGTGCCCACCACCATTACTGACTGCTCAAACCCAGGACCTCAATAGAAGGTCCTGGTTAGAATGGGTTATAAAACAAACTTTGAACAGGGTTGTTAGTCAAAGTGAGACTGAAAGTACCCCTGAGACTATGACCGTTAAACACCTTTCAGACTTGGAACTTAACCTCCCCCTGGGGAGCACCTTAAAATCAAACTTTTACACTATAAAGTGAAGAGTTCCACTCAAGTGGAACATACTCTTTAAAACATTCAGCTCAAGGGGACCAAAAAACACTTTTTTCTTAAAAATAAATCCCCACAGCCAGGAGGTTCAGGACAGAAGGATGAATGGAAACAGGCCACCAAAGAAGGAAGCAGGAAGAGGGCTGTTACCTCGAGGGGACTTCAAGTCGTGTCCATGAACAAAACACGTATACATCGTTGATGGAAAGCAAGTCTTCTCTGTGAAACTTTCACTCAAACCACCATCAAATGTTCAAGATAGATAAGTATTAAAGGCAGTTCTTAAAGAAGGATTTTATATTCAAATATGATCTGTAAGCATGACTTTGAATTAAGTTTTTTCTTATGATATATTCAGAATACTTTTAATATATATTATGAATTTCTAAAGTTGTTGTGGATATAAAGTTTCCCAAACTTGCTTCTCTGATAATCATGGCCACTTGAATTGATTTGCTGTTTATATAAACGTTGTTGTTCAGTGCTAAGTGTAATTGGACTCCTAGCACGTGCTAGGGTTTTCTGGGGTGTAATCTTTTGAGAGTAAATCTCTATAATCAAATAGTGTGTTCAGCACTCTGGCAGCTCTGCTCCTCTGCTGCCTTTGCCCCCTTCTCCCTGCTGCAGGCAGGCATAGGGCAGGCATCGGTCAGGAAATGCTGTTGTAAGAATTTCAAAGCCCCATCAGATGTTTTCTGTTAGACTGTACTGAACTTAGTGGTGGTTAGCTCACGTGGGTTCTTCAGTTAGCAACAAAAGAGGAATTTATTACTGTAGGTTGCAAAGCAGCATTTCACCAAGCATTTGTTGAGTACCTCATGTCTTCAGCAAGTTTGTCTGTATTCGTTGAAACCGTCATCAGTTTTGCTCTGCGTTCACATGCTGCCTCTCTCCTCCCTTCTGTCTGCTTGGTGGTATCGGCATGCTGTAAGAGAAAGTCAACATCCAGGATAAAGAATGTGCAGGGCTCCATACTGTGAGGAGGAGGCAGCATATGGGCCAATTGGATACCAGAATTAAACAAGGAAAAGATGTGGTTTTAAAGTTGGAATTTTCCTGTCTTCATGTGCAAGCATATGCCTAACTAAATGCCCTGCCTTGGTTGTGGGACAGGCAAGCAGGCAGGAAGAGGCTAAGGTACATATGCACATATGCCCGGGAGGGTTTCTCGATTTAACTGAGGATACAGGAACTCAGTGTGTTTCTGGGATTCTTTGAGTTAAGATATCAAGAATTCAGTATCTTTGAAACCAAACCTTTTAAGTAACGTCTTGAAGACAGGTTCTTTCTTCAGTGGTACTGTTTTCAATAAACCTACAAGGTTTATTTAAATCTTAGAACGGATTTGCCTCAGTCACTGCCTTCTGGTACATGAATGCCTGACATTTTCAGAACATAGTTTTTTTCCTTAAATATTTTCTGGGGGGCAATGAATGTACAAATGCACTTTATACAATTGATGTGTGTATGGATTGTGATAAGAGTTGTATGAGCCCCTAATAAAATGATTTAAAAAATATTTTCTGGGACTGAGAGTCTACCATGTTTTGAAGTTATTGAGATAGAATTAGTGTTTGACCCTCTGTAGTAAATTTTCCTTGTTAAGATATTTTAACAGGTATGACTTATCTTAGGAAGGAAAATTTAAAACTTTCAACTGTAGCCAAATAAGACAGGTTTCTTTTTTTTTACTACTTCAAGATATTCTTTATTCACTGTCCATTTTTAAAAATCATTTATGTCATTAATTCATTGTGTCAAGCACATTTCTACATATGTTGCCATCATTATTTTCAAAGCATTTTCTTTCTACTTGAGCCCTTGGTATCAGTTCCTCATTTTTTTCCCCTCCCTCTCCCTCCATCCCTCCCTCATGAATCTTTGATCATTTATAAATTATTATTATTTTTTCTTTTTTTTTAACATTTTATTAGGGGCTCATACAACTGTTATCCCAATCCATACACACATCAATTGTGTAAAGCACCTTTGTACATCGTTTCTCAAAACATTTTCTCTCCATTTAAACCCCCGACATTAGGTCCTCATTTTTCCCCTCCCTCCCCGCT